TTAGGTGGCAATTGCCCAATTGCTACCCTGCTGGCTACGCCACTGGTGTACATTCTTCTTCTTTAAAAGAGATACACGAAAGATTAGTATCTCCATTAGTAATTACAACAGTTTTGTTATTTGTGGTTGAAGGAAGTATTACATGCGGTATAGTTGTTCTAAATGATATTTGTAGTCGAAAACGATCATGATAATTAGGAAATAATTGTATCAAAACGAACATGTTTAATATGTGTTAAGAGTTTATCTTTTGATGAATCTTACTTTGTTAATTCATCTATAAATATATATTAATAATAGATTTTAATTAAACAATTAAGAGAAAGTAAACAAAAAAAAAACAAATCAGATGAATTATTTGTTTTCAAATAATAATTTGATGAAGGATAACAAGCAGTTCTTTCTAAGATTATTTTCTTTCACACAAATTATCACTTTCATCAAAAGCTTTACCAAAATGATGAATAAGGAATAACTAAATAATAAAATCAATAAAAATACATATCATTAAAAAAAAAGAACATTTAAATAGCAATTACAAAATGATTTATTAAATATAACAAACAAGTATACGTGTATATTCAAGATCATTGTACTCTAGTGTTGAATAAAGAATACAAATTTATATTTTATAATAAAAAATTGAGATATAAACTTTTATTTGTAATCGGATTCAATAACAGTCTGGTAGTATCTATTCAAATGAAATAAATTCTTAGATGCAATATATTATGCAAACTATATAATACAATTATTTTTGTTGGTTCAGATAAACCTAATTTAGTTTCTGCTGATATTCTTATTATGTATATTTTGATTCTTTTATTAAATAATTAAATTCATAATTAAATATTGGACTTAAAAGACGTTCACATCGAACATATTGTGAACGACCCTTTCTGGTTGAGAAACAGTATGAACACGAACATAAAATAATATTACAGTTGAATCAGTCAGAATTTTTTTATATTAATTTATAAATTTTACCTTCATTTACATGAATTTTTGGATATAGATATAATAACAAATGTATTTGATTGTTCAGTACATGTTCGATCATGTGCTGGTTCACAAATCATAGCTGTCGGAGGGCATTCAGCAACTTCACGTGAAATATATAAAATTTAACCAATACTAATATTGATTGGTGATGATAAAATTCAAAAAGACAAGAAAAAAAATTATGATTAAATATTTTTTATAAAAAGAATATTTTATATAAAATGTACAAACAATTGAACTCAGAGTATTCTTAGCTATGGATTCATAAGTATCTGCGTTCTTTGCTATAGTTTATATTTAAATTCAGATGTTCGATCATGTTCAACACAAGCAGTTAATATAACAGGTCATTCATCGATGACTATCATAACTTCCAGTTTTTGAATAAATCTTGATTTTTCACCAATAATCGATTCTCATATTTTAGTTTCTTTAGTAGAATTCGATAGTTCACCAAAGCCAGCTAAATTTTGAGCTCGAATATGATATGTCAAAGGTAAAATAATAGAAAAAAATTCTTTAGTTTACATGTAATTTATAATTTCAAGCAGTTCGTCGTTCAATTACATAACCTGCTATTGGTAGTTATCAATTTAACTCAATAATCCATTCATTATTGATTACATTAGGTGCACGCGATTTACCTAAATAATTATTATTTTCTTTTTTTTTTTAGTTTTTTGAAAAATCATATGATATACGGAGTGAATTTTCAGCAAAAACAATTATTGATGAAGCTTTTGGTTCTGATTGATCAACTTGAGCTTCCTTGTAAACGACGTTCAACAAAATAACCTGTTAATGGTGTTCGACTATCACTGCATGGAACTATCTGTTGAATGCAACATGTTTTTTTTATAAATATTGCATCAACAAATGCAGCTTCTGCTGTACATAGATGATCTAGAAATTAAATTTTAGAATTTCTTTCTTAATCGACATAGACAATGAAACAATAAAGAAACTTCATCAAGAAATGTTATGAATTTCATTACATTATTCTGAAGTTTTTTTTTATTTTTTAGGAGCATAAGACATTGGAAATTTTCAACAGTAGATAAATTAAGTCAATTTTTATATGTAAATTAAAGCGTAAACGCTGAATTTTGATTTCAAAACATCAGTTCCGAAAGAAGATTTTAATTATTAAAATGAGTTTTGATATTCTTGAACATTATTTTCTAACGTTTAAGGAAATTTTTCAAGTAGACAAGAATTTTTCAAAACGTGTTTAGACGTCCTAAATGCAGTTGCTGTTTGAATGTTTTCATGTCCAGGTACCATGCAAACATTTTTTTTCAGAAATACTTTGATGGATTTGCAGATAAAAATGACTTTTTTTATGAATGATATATATCAAACGTATTGAGAGAAAATCTTTTGAACGTTTTCAAAATGCAAAAGTTGTCTTCTTTTAACTATCTTTACCCATCGTTTAAATTGAAAGGAAAACTGCAATTAGAGTGTTTAATCATGTTTTTGAAAATTCTTGTCTGCTTCGATGACTATCATTCGACGACATGGTTTGTCTTTTTGTTTATAATTGATAAATCTAAAAAAAAAATTTAAATTTTTCTAAAATAATATGTTACCGAAAGAACTCTTAGTAAGTATTGGTTCAATAGTTTCACATGGCTCTCATCGACAATATTTATTTTTTGCAAGAACACGAAAACAATATTTAGCACTATGAATTAATTTATTAAGAATTATTTTTTCTCTCTTTAATAGTCATTAGACAAATTTCATTCAATGATGCAACTCATCGTTCTTCACATTTTCCTATACAATAACCAATTAATAGTGAATCATCATCATTATCAGATTGTTTCAGGGTGTGGTTGTGAATGTGAGAGGTCGAAAAGAAGATCCACACCCACACACCCTTATTAACATCATCATTTGAAAAAAATGAAGATGATATTATTATTGATGATTTATTAGATAAACAAGTTATTATTGATAAACATTGATCAGATTTTTTAAAATATAAATTAATTTCAACAAAAGTTGATAAATAATTTTGTAATTTAACAAATAATAATTGTTTTTTATTATCATCTGATGAAGATATGATTAATAATATATTATAAAATTCATTTTGTAATATTTCTGTTTCCAATAAAAGATCATTCAAATCAATCTCATACATGGGCAAAATCATTTATTAGTCATGTGACTTTGCAAAATTAAAACACGTATATCTTGAGATAAAGAATTTCATAAGAGATAATTTTTATATTTTACATGTATGTTAAATTACTCTAGATAATTTTAAAAAAAGAACTCAGCACTAGATATCTCTCTTGAGAGATGCTATCAGTAAAAACAACAGTGTAAATGGTTTTATACAAGAAAGATATCGACTTTCACTTCATGCATTTTAGTTTAAAAAAAAACTCCGACTGAAGGTAACATTAGTGGAAAGTAAATAATAAATTCTGTAGGCAATATCTGAAGCTATAAATCTCTCTCTGAAGTTTTTTTTTCTGAGCATGTCTAAATTTAAAAAACAAGAATTCATTTACTTTTTAATTAATAGTCAGCTGAAAGAGTTAACATTTTTACATCTGTCTATTCTGAAAGAAGTCATTCAGAAAAATAATCGTTATAAAGAATCAAAGATCAATTAAAAGTGGGTACGTCCCATTTTGCCCGAATGGTCCATATATTAAATATAAATTTTTTTAATAGAAAAAAAAGCATTATTTATTACTTGTTTATCTTCATTGATTTTATATTTATGATCAAGTGTTAAAAATTTTTAAATAATCGTTGTTTATTAATAATTAAATACATCAATGGCAAATGACGAATAAGATATTAAAAATATCTGACATTTTGATAAATATATACTAGTATCTAGAAAATATCTATAGTTTAAATTTTCAAAATAAAACTTTATTTCATTTAGTTTTACGTTTAAGTCGTTTGAGACTGAGTATTAACAGATAAAGCCTATAGAATATTGTCAAAGTTATTATTTATGCAGACAAACAGATATATCTAATTTCATCTATGATTGTTACTAATTTATATAGGTATATTTGAGACTGTGAAAAACTCTGATCAAATGTTCTATAATGATTTTTAGCATATAAGAGATATATTTTTGTAAAGATTGTATCGTAAGAAACAGAGACAAATATTCATCAACGATGAATCAAAAAGCAAATAATAAATTGTCATAGGTCTTAGAGGAAATAAAGTCGATACTGTCGCATTAGAGTTATTGAAAATCAATAAAAGCACTTGGAATCAGTTAGTGAAATGACTCGAAGTTATTTCAAACTACCTTAAATTACTTAAAGTTCACACTGGTTGACGTAAGTAAGTTTATTTCTACATCAACTTTGCTCAATCAAGAGTTTTATCACTAGGATCTTGCGAAGTCAAACGTTGACTAATATATATACTTCTTTGTGTGTTACTTGTTAATGAGAATATCTTTCTGATGATTTTTTTCTTGGCATTTATTTTTGAATCTATAAAGTAGGGTCTTCTTGTTCATTACATAACATATGAAGAATTAAGTTGTTACTATGTAAAAGTAAAAATACTTTATTTTTTGTTTTACCAAAATAAATTTGACAGTGACTTCACTGGACTCTGGTTTTAGAGTTTGATATAGAGTTCTATTAAACAATCAAAAACAAAAGAAAATTAGCTGATTCGATGATTTTAAATAATTCCAAATTGCTTTTGGACATCAGAATCAGTTGCTTCTCTCTTGTAAACATCTGACTTCATGTTTCTATTCATTCCGAATGACTCAAAAATGATTCCAATTATTCTTTCTTTGATTATTCTCTGAGAATATCACCAACTACTCTTTGTTTTTGTTTGAGTAATACTGAAAATAGTATCATTTATTGATGTGATGATTGAGAATCAGTCCCGATATCTCTGAGACTAACTATAACGAGGGAACTACATAGCGTTCGAATAAAAACTCTAAAATGATTTCGGTTCCTATTGAAATTTGACTACACTATCGAATTTCAGATATGTCTATTTTCTAGAGGACTTTAGATTTTCGGAAAACTCATATTTTCGAAATTTGATCTGAAACTTTGCAAATATAGAGAACTCAACTAGACTACCTGGCATAAAAAACTCACATATTTTGGACAAAGTCTCTTTGATATATAAAGCTTTCAAAAAATGAATCATGTATACCCTATCCATGGAAACGGTCTCTATCTTGAAAGTGTGTGAGTGTGGCCCAGTAACTTAAAAAATCAAAACATTTCATGAATTTTGTGAATTTGATGCCAAAAACATAAAAACAAAGGCATTTTTGATGATGAAACGGATATAAGCTTTGATGTTTTTTCAAATTCATTGATTAAAAGCGACATTTTAATTTTAAAAAATTCAGTGAATTCTTTTAATTAAAATGTCGCTTTTAATCAATGAATTTTAAAAAACACCAAGGCCTATATTCATTTCATCATCAAAAATGCCATTTTTTCATATTTTTAACATAAAATTCACGAAAGTCATGAAAATTTTTCGATTTTTTAAGTCACTCGGCCACACCCATACCCATACCATCCTTGTTCCCGATTTCGAAGAATGCAGATATGAGTCTTCGTCGCAATGATCTACCTGCATATAGGTCTACACTCAAATCTATATTGCACATCATATCAAATACTAATGTTGCTTTTTGTATTCGTTTCGAAATGAAGATCTACGCACCTGTGCGAAATCCTTATCTAGTTGCATTCAGTTTTCGTGCGTTTATCATCTTGAATGTTTTACTTTTGACAAATGTAATCATTGTTAACAAGTTTCATAGCTGCAAGATAGTCAAATGAGAAAAAAGACAAAAAAGGTAGATAATAAAGTTGGAATGCCGTTATCTTCCAAAACTAACAAACGAATCATACGATAAAAAAATAAAACAAAAACAGCGTCACATACGCATTATCACTCAAATCGACAACATTGCACCCTCTAAGTTTTATCACTTTTTTTGCTTGAAATCATTAGACTCTGGTAAGTAAATTATAAACATCATTTTCAAGAGTAATACAGTTTATTTTGACAGGCAGATCTATAGCACCAATATGATTGTCATGTTTGAAGTGATTGAGATCGATACAAAATTAAAACTAACAATAAGCATTACTTTAATCAATCGACTTTTCTATGCACAGCACGTCTTGCCTCAGTTAATTTACTTTTCCATATCTATGTTATACATATGTAATATATGTCATCGTCTCATTTGTATGATGTTGTCGAGGTCTTCTATCATTACTGTCATTCGAAGAAAAACACTTGAAAGTTCACCTGTGAAGTCTGACGAGATTCTTGAAGTTTTTCGGAGGCTTCTGGAATCTTTTTACATACATTTAGTGTAGGAAAAATTCAATAAGTGAACCGATGAAACTGTCTGATTTTTCATGATCTTATTTTGGCAGAAATGTGAACATCTATTATTTAGCCTTTCTCTTGGAAAAGTTCGAGCTTCTTGGCACTTAAAAAACAACATATTTAATAACTTAAGGTTTTTCTCATGAAATTCTCTGCGGGCTAGTTGAAACTTAGGGGTGTCAGTTTCTGGTTCCGTTCCTTGGGAACGGAATCCTAGGGAACGGGGAACCCTGACACTCCTAAGTTGAAACTCAGACCACGGAATACACCGATACCCAAATGGATGGCAATACCATTTGTTAACACCAACATACCTACACCGTCAAATGAGACTTGAACTTTTGTTTCAGATTGTAAAAAAATCCATACATTTGATAGCTAAATCAAACAGCAACATTCAAAACATCGATTCAATTCAGCATTCTTGATTAACATGGCAACTCCTGCTTTAGAATTTGACATCTCTCACAAAAATACTGACGATATGTATCTTGAAATTTTCTGTCTTATTTGGCTCGATGCTGACGCAAACGCTAAAGATATTCGAGATACAGAACAAAACTTGCGCTCTATCATTAATCGTTTTAAGAAGTTTCAAGATGTAAAACAATGTCAAAAATTTATTGAAGAACGATCACAAAAAGAACGAGTAGTTATGGTTGTTAGCGGTCAATTAGGACGAGAAATAGTTCCTTCTATTCACAAACTTCGGCAAGTTATATCGATCTATATATATTGCATGGATAAAGAGGGTAACAAAAAATGGGCTGACAAATTCTCAAAAGTAAAATTAGACGGAAGGACTTCGATTTTCTTTTATCGTTTTTTTTTATCGATAGGTAAAAGCTGTTGCTGTTGAACTTAATGAGCTCATCTTTCGAATTAAAGCTGATCATAAAATTCAGAAAATAGTAGAAGAACCATTATCAATTAATATTTTTACTGCAAGTTCAGGAGCCGGTACATCAACGATGGGTGTAAATGGTCAATTTGTTTTTTATCAAGTTTTTATTGATTGTATTTTACGGCTGAAATCTACCGAAAAAGATAAAGAAGAACTTATTAATGTTTGTAAACAGCAATATCAAGGTAATAGTATTGAGCTGAGCAATCTGCGTAACTTCCAAGAAGATTACTCACCTGAAAAAGTTTTGTGGTGGTACACAAAAGAATCATTCTTTTACAAGACTCTTAATGCAGCTCTACGTAATCAAGATGTTCATTTAATTTTTTTATTTCAAGCATTCATCTTTGATATTCATTGTCAATTGAAAAATGATCAAGTTAAACATCCTAAATTAGTTTATCGAAGTCAAATGGTATCCAATAATGAACTTAAAATCTTGGAACAATGCTGTGGTCAATTTATTTCAATAAATTCATTTTTTTCCACCAGTACTGATAGGAAACAAGCTCTTTCATTCCTCAACATTTCTGAGGCTACTGATAACTTGAAACCAGTATTGTTTGAAATCGATACTGATCCTTCAGTGGTCACTAGCAAACCATTCGCTGATATAAGTTCACATAGTGAATATCCTGGCGAATCAGAAATACTTTTCATGCTGGGTTCTATTTTTCGTTTGAATAGCATCAAACAAAACAGCGATGATCAAGTATTGATTATTGGAATGAGTTTATGTAGCGATGATGTAAATACTTTAAAGGAAGTTCTCGTACATATGGAAAAACAACTTGGAAGTGAAGAAACAGATCTTCAAACATTAGGAAAACTTCTATGGGATTTGGGTAAACTTGATCTCGCTGAAAAATACTTCCTTCGTTGGTTGGAACAACGTCCGCCTAATGATGCTTTACTTGGCGAATTGTATAAAAATCTTGGCAAAGTCACGTCACAAGCCGGTAAAACGGAGGACAGTATGAAATGGTGGAAAAAAGCTGTCGAACTCGAAAATCAAAAGCCACGAGAAGTATCCGTACCTACTAGTAAGTGCATTGAAACAAAACTCTATCCTATAGATACAACTATCCAATTTAAAACTTAAAATTTTATCAAGAAAAAGGCAGATGTAAAAGCTCAGAGAAACAAAGTTCGTGAGAAAGGCAAACTCTATCTCATAAGTGATGCTATGTCTTATATGCCTAGTAGACATTTCACAAGATCTGAGTCGTCGCCAATTGTCATCCTATTGATAGAACTATCTAATGCCATATGCTTTTTTTTCTCAGTCATATCTTTTCTGATGATTGTTTTTTTTTAAAAAGCTTTTTTTATGATAATAATATTAAATTGTTTTAATGTTCCCATATCCATTTCGATACCATGGCAATTATGTTAAGTATATCTAAGATATTTTTACGTTATGAGTAATACGTATAAACTTAAGATAGAGAGAACTAAGGCATTATTTTCGAAAACTATACTAAAAGGATATAGACTGTTCCATATTCAAATGTCGTACTGACGTTAAATATTTTATGCGTAAGTTGTTTTACTAATATTCTATTTATGTGAACAGATATTATTTCAATTTTGAAATTTTACTTTATTCTAAAAGATATCTTGTTATGTTTCGTATGATTTACTTTTTATACATTGTTTTGCACCATAATGTGCTTGATTTATTCTATTGAAACTAAAACTTTGAATTTCATGTATATGTTATTAGTCTCTTTTTTTTTCAATGAAGTAATTATCTCTCTATGTTTCTATGCAGATTTTAATTGAAACAATCATAGAATTATTTATTTAATAAGAAGAAAACTAAATATTAACTTTTTTGGAACTTGCATCCGATAGTTGTGTAGGAACACTTTTTTTTTCTATGTATTTTATTTCTAGCACGATATGTGTAACAATATAACAATATATTCTGTAAGAATGACTTATTTGTATAAACAATTTTGTAGATATCGATATATGAACTAAAGAATATAAAATTTAATTAGCAGTAATAGTTGATTAAACGACTGAAAATCCATACCTCTCGCCAAAAAACTTACAGACAAATTCTTTATTTACAGATCCAGTAGACTCTATATCTACTTTGTTTTAAATTTTCATCATTTGTCATCCACATGAATTCTCATATTATAACACATCTATCCTATGTATTTGACAAAGATCAAATAATGGCGTGATGACGCTCTAATTTTGTTGACACTGAAATATAGAGTTGCAAAAATTTATGATTTTTTTACTTGAAATTGATTATTTTTTATCATATCTATGTATCGTTGCATTGAAGTTACTAAAAAACCAAATGATATTGAAAACAGAAAATAATAATCATGCAAAGTATGTCGTATGCCAGTTGCTTTAGATTAATTAGGAAAGTAATAATTATTCATTGATAGGTGATTTTTTCATTAAAATAAATAATTAAATTTCATTTTTGATTTCAATAATAAAGATACATATTCTTATGAGTGTAAGTACATGAATACTTGATACGTTCTTTTGGTAAGTTATAAAATCTGATCAAATAAAACTTCATATTTGTTCGATTTTGCCTATATAATACGTGTGCGTCTTTTGCGAAGGAATCATTGAGATAGTCAAGCTACACTGTAAAAGTTATGAAAAAATCGAGAGAAAACTCGCTAATATAATTAATTTGTTATCATGTATATATCTAAAGTGTAATATTAGTTCTGTTATAGCACTTTTTAAATATTATTCATCATTATCATTTTTTCGTTTTCACAATCTAAATTTATAATCTAATATGGTGGAAGTGCAAGCATTTGTAATTTTCAGAGAGTAAGACCAGCGAAATCTGCGAGTACTAGAACACAAAAGATAAAGGTCTATGTCTCATAATATAGCCTCACAAATATATATCTAAGGCTTTCAGAATAATTCTATAGTTCTAACTGGATTGATGAGTTTTCTGCACAAGAGAGTAGTTGAGAAGAATTTGTAGTATAAAAGCGAATCAATGTGTGGATAAAGTTTATTAAATTTGTGTAAGTCATACACTTAGACCGATCTGAGCAATAATAATCAATAGAATACACAATCAGAAAAAAACCTATTTAGAAGTTTTATTCAGATATAATATACCCAATTTGAACAGATTTTACGGAAATGCGTGGATATTTTTTGAAGCCTTCAATTATCTTCAAATTGATCCTAACAATTAGAAGTATTTTTCGAGAAATCGAACATCTTCCATATGCGAACAGTTTCTGTATAATACATAGAATATCATAGTTTTCGTCAATGAAGTGTTTTCCTATTTGAGCTTGAAAATTTGTCCATGCTTCCGTCACAAAGATGTTTCCTGATGAATTCTTCATTAAGCTCTGGTGATTTCAGACAAACACTATCCTCTTTCTATTAGTGATATAAATAGAAATTTATGACATAAATACTGAATAATACGTTGCACTGCAACTGAATCCTTCTTTTTACGATTTAACCCTTTTATTATAAAAATTCTTCGGGAATATTTTAATAAAATGTCGCGAAGCATTATATGTTCTACAAAATATGAATAGAAAAGGAAAATTAACAATAAGAATAAAACATGGTTCGATTAAGTGAAATGAAATATTTCTATGGTGTTGTTGACTTGTGAGACGCTGGTTTTTTATGGATTTTTTCATAATTTTTTTTTGTTGTTGTCTTTGATTTTCTTTTTATTCTTTTAAGATAATTTTAATGAAACTATTCTGTTTCTTATCCATGATAGTAAAATTGAATTCCTATCTCTTTCTGGATAGAAACTCTTGTTTTTCTTTCGCGATATTTATTTCGGTTGATTGAGAAAACAAGTAGTTAGGAAGTTTTGTGTTCAAAACTTATTGTCGTTTTTTTTGAAACAACATAAGTATCGAGAAAAACTTATATTTAGGGAAAATAAACAATTTTTGAAATGTTTCACAATAAAACAATTTTGAACCAAGTGAGAAGAAAGAATTGATCTTATATATATTTATATATTTAATGTTCTTCGGATTTCATTAAGATTGATTTGCATGAAAAAAGTTGTACAGCTCGCAATTCTATCAAATCATAATCTAGTTTGTATTAGCGAGTTTCAACCAAACGAAAAACGAAAGCCTCATCAAGCTAATGTTTATTTGAATGTTCGTTTTTTAATTATGTTTCACTTATTCCTATTTAATTTGGTTGATTGAGCATATGTACAATGTCAATATTTTATGTTGTTGAGTTTCATTCAAGCTATGCTTCGGTCGAAAATTAAACAGAACTTGTTAGCTGATTTAACTCTTGGAGTGAGATGATCAATATTTTCTGTGGAAACTTGATGTTCTGAAAAATGATTATGTAAATAATGATGACACAACAAAGTTGTGGAAGTTGTATGTTTTAGTTAGAGAGAACAGGAAATAATCTTTGATTGATCGATCTTCGTACTAATACACGATTAAAATGAATTTTTATCAATTGTCGGATTGCCTTTCGAATATCATAAATGATCTTCTTTTTTCTGAAAACGTGATTGAGATTATGAAAAATGGCGAGGAGCTGCTAACTTTTCAGATCATATTAAATTATATGGAGAATATTCTTGTTTACTATGAGATCACTTATTTATATTGACAACTTCTCACATGTTTTTTGAAATTTAGGTCCACCAAAAGATTTATTACAAATAGCCGATCAGGATCTAAAACTCGATGACGAAATCGGTCTTGGAGGATTCGGAACAGTTTATCGAGCTCAATGGTTGAGTCGACACGAAAGGGTTGCTGTGAAAAGGTTACATCTTACCCAATTAAACAAAGAAGCCGAAAAAGAATTTTTCAAAGAAGCTTCGTTGATGTATAATGTTCGATATCCTCACATTACCACTTTCTATGGGGCTTGTATGGAAAAGGGAAAATATGCACTTGTGATGGAATACATGTCATTAGGATCATTGTACAAGATTCTTCACAAGGATAAACTCTAACTGGATTGGTCTAATCGACTATCCATTGCTTTTCAAACAGCCAAAAGCATCAATTATCTCCATAAACTGCAACCACCTATCTTGCATCGTGATATCAAGTCAATGAATTTTCTATTAGAGAAATCCCATGACGGGTATATTGTGAAAGTATGTAACTTTGGTTTAGCACAAGTACGAAGTGAAACAACCCGGCAAAGTGTATTAACTCATGCGTTACCTTGCACATTACAATGGACTGCTCCTGAAATATTGCGTATGAAAAAGCACACCGACAAGAGTGATGTTTACAGTTTAGGAATTGTTTATTGGGAACTAGCTGCAAACGAAATACCTTATGAGGGTCACCAAAATGCTGTCATTACTGAATTTGTGCTTCGTGGTGACCGTTTGGAGTTACCTGAAGATACGCCATTGAAATTGTCTCAGCTAATCCAGAAATGTTGGGCCAACAATCCAAACGATCGATCAAGTTGCTCTCAGCTGATCGAAATCATCGAAGAAGTATTACAAAGCAAAGTAATTTGTGTTTTTTCCTGCTCGACTTTGATAAAGTAAGATGAATTGATACTATGCATACAAAATTAGGAAAACTAGGTACATACTTTTCTAATATTTGATTACAGTAGATATGACAAAATTGTTTGAATGAGAATAATGAACAGGAAAGAACGATATAGCATGTATCGCCTATTAAAAGGGAAATATTGATTAAAAAATCTACTGCATCGTTTATTATGCTTTCGTTCTCCAAAATTTTATCGAGCTCATAGCTTCCATCGGAGAATTCGGTATATTTCTTGATCTGAATTGATGACGAAACTATGGAATACTGAAGATAAAATTCTCAAATAAGAAAAGTAATCATCATCAAAATTTACTGTCAATAACTTGACAGATAATGATGCTTTCTACTCAACTGAAGAAGCAGACAAATATGACACTTGGAAAGTATATTTGGGCTTTCTCTTCACTCACACCCTCAATTTATATAATATTTAAGTTATTTTAGATCAAATAGAAAAGAAATAACAATCTATTGTTAAAGTAGTGTCTGAGTCCATGCCAATTACCATCTTTATCAATTGATCTAGTCTTTCATGAAAAGAGTTGTAATTAAGTGT